TACAATAAAAAAATAAAAATATGTATAAAGGACAGAAATAAAATCAAAAAAAACTATACTGATATAAAAAATAGCTTTACTATTAAATCCAATGAAGAAATGGATTACATGAATTAATTTCAATTCTTTTTACATAGTCTTTATACTAGTAGTAAATTAAACTTATGTGAATTTCTTTGCTTACATGTGTCAGCCCTAATACTTCCGCTTCATCAGAAATAGCTGATGTCGAAGCTGTTGAGGATCTTTCGCCTAGCTGAGCATGCTCCAGAAACTCAGACATAGAAGCACTCATTGGCTCCATCTGTTGGGTTCAAAACCTAATAACATCACTCTAATATATTAATGCAATAATGTTTATTCCTTTAATCTTTATTACACATTTTTTTCAGCTTTCCTAAGAATGTGCTCCTTACCCCATATCACCATGAAAATGTAGTGTTTACAGTATTGTTTTGTGAAATGGCTCCATAAGTGCTTACCCAGAGTCAATTTTACCTTTCTATGAGTTTGGGAAAAATATTTTTTCTAACTAATGCTATCAATATTGAAGATTATTATCATTACAATATAATCAATACAGTATTATTTGTTACTAATAGCAAAATGAGATACAGGAAAATATTTCCAAAAACCAAGGAAGAGGGTAAACTGGGGAGATAGGTAGTACTGGTAACTGGTTCATTGGTGACTTAGTACTTGTAGAGCCGTCTGTCTGTAAATACAATTAATAAACTAAACTCACTGCGGGCATGACATGTACGTACATACCATCCCCAGGAGCATCAGGTTAATCCACTAGCAACGGTATATTTTAAAGTTGAATATAATAGTTTCTGGCCAGCTTCAAAATCAGTGCACAGGGCTGGCCCGGAATCTGCCCGCTCCGATCCAGCGTCACACTGGCGGGACACCAGCAATATTTTTTTCCGGGTGTCTCATATGTGGGACACCGTCGTAAATGGGTTAAGAGAGTATCTTAACAAATACTACATATTCAGAATTCTCTAATATGACATTCTAAAAACTATTCTCCTTACTTGCCCTGATCTTTCAAGAAAAAATTACAGCAATATATGATTTATTGATACGGTTCTTGCTGGGATACCACAGTGAATTCACTTCAGAAAATATTAAGGTCACAGAAAGAGTCTGTATTTTTTTTTCTTCTTCTTCTTGAAAAGTCTGATGACACTAACACATGATACAGAATCTACACTAATGAGCATCTACATTCACCTGCATAAGCAGCAAAATGAAAAACAACATAAAATATCACTTGAAATGCATCACTCCTCTACAAATGACACTTACATTCAACAGCTTTGTGTATTCATTTTGCTGCCCGTCTTCATATTCATTTTCGTCATTGTCACCAGGTTCTGCCTCAATCATCTCCACCTCAACATGGTCTGTCCCTCCTAATTCTGGCAGTGTGACACATGACTCCATCTGGGTGGTACATGAAAAAAAAATTAAGGTGCCATTATCAACAATAAACTATGATTACTACATTGGGAATGATACATTATGTACTTAGAAAATTTATACTCTACTCCGAAATTTTCTCATATCGCTCATATGAACCTTTTCTAAGTTCATGATATTTCAAACAGAAAACAAATATGTGTTTGTCTGTCTGTCTCTATTTGTGTTAGCTAAATATCATCTTTACACACACTCCTTGCTTATTTTTTTGATTGCTTGTGATAGAGATTTCTGAAGAATATCTTGCAACACAGGTTAATGGTGAAAATTAAATTCCATGCTGGGGCAAACATTAACATCCCACAGTAAAAGAACAAGAGTTAAATACAAAAGCAGATAAGTTGCAAAAGAAGAAAATATGCAAATATATATATATACTACATTTACATATATGTCTAAACTAGGAATCTAGGAAAGCTTACTGGTAGAAGGGCTGCAAAAGCTGAAGTACAATGGAAGTAGTTACCATTACAGTTAAATCTCCTACTTTAATTAATATTCCATACTCCAACTCTTTTTTGCAACAAAAGACACCACCATTACATAAATTACCAGGCTGCACGGAAACCTACATAGGGAAGCCCTAAAACTTCTTCCGTGGATCCCACATGTGCCGACGTAATTGCCCCTACTGGAAGCTCCCCTCGTCCTAGGAGCTCAGTCATAGCAGTATTTAGGGGAGCCATCTAAAGTGCATTAGAAAAACAGGTGATGTATTAATATAAATGATTTGAATACTTTTCTTAACATGCAAAGTATGCAACAATACACTCTTTATTACCAAACTCATAAATTCTTTGATAATGTAACTAAAATTCTTCAGCTAAAAGTGAGAGAACATGACCTTGATGCCAATGCAATGTTGACAAAACAGAGCATCTGGTAAGAATTCCTAACTGTAGCACCTATAGCAATGTGCATTTTAGAAAAAACATCAGCTAAGATACCTACGTAGCAATGAGTATTACCATAAACTGTGTGTCATATGTATCTGGATAAAACAGAAAAAATA